GGATGGAGAAGGATTGGATATTCGGTCACCTCACTTACATGGCGAAACAACGCGATTGTGATTGTTTTACACCGGTTTTCTGTGAGGCCGTGGTATCACTCCGGTTAAGCCGACCCATTCATGCTTGAAGAATGACTCTCCCACACTTCATACCGTTAGTTCATTATCTTTAAAAACAGAGTAGGTACCTACCACGAATTTTTTATAAAGATCTATGATGATCTATACTTGGTCGTAACAATTAACTATGCAACAGAAAAAACACAATGTTTTTATGATTCGTCATAATTATTGCCTATTTAATTTTTTTTATACTACCTACCTGTTGTGGAACAGCTAATTCCTGAGAAAACTGGTTTACAAAAATAAAATGTTTTGTAAATAAAAATGAATTTTAGTGCGAAGATTAATATGTAAAAATTAATTAATGTTTCGTTACTAAATATGAAATGACGTAAGTACAAAGTGCGTATCTCATAGATAGGCCGCAATGTGTAGACTTTTTTTATAGACTGTGCACGCACGTGTAAACTGTATTATAATTTATAATTAGTGTTGATCTACTTTGTTGTGTGACGTCACCGCATCTGCTCTATAATAAGAGTTCTGTTATCAGTTTTATTTTTGAACAAACGAACAGACTGTTTACCTGTTGGTAAGCAATTAGCGCCGCCCTTGTTCAATATCAAAAGAGTTTCTACAAGTACGTTGCCGACATCTTGTGGGTTATTAGGGATTTAAGGATATGGGATTTGAAGATGGAGGATGGGAGAGGGTAAGGATTGGGACCCGGCAACCTCACTCACAGCGCGAAACACAACGTAAGTGTTGCTTCACGTCGATTTTCGGTAAGGCCTTGATATCACTCTGCTCGAGCCGGCCTATTCGTGCTGAAGCATGGTGTCTCCCAAACTTAAAGAAGCTTACTTTTAATAATAATAATTGTTTCATAGATTGGGCGACCGAAACTACGTGACAATGATTTTTTTGACTGCACGGTTGGCGTGGTGGCTGGGCAATTGGCTGCCGCCGTACAATTCGTGCTGAAGCATGACTCTCCTACACTTAGATACTTGAAATTAATCGATTTTATCCATTTAAGTAAAACGTTATATACAAATGATAGTAAATGTTGTGGGTGCAAGAGCAATAAGTTACCGTGGCCTCGACCTGAAGCAGGAGATGGTCTTTAGTCAGTAGTTTGGTTTTTAGTCAGTAAGTGTCTGAAACTCCACCCACTCCACACCTCCCACCCTGGGCGAGTGAAGCCATTTAATGACTTTCCCTACTAAAGAAAAGCCCAAGCTCGGAGCAAGAGAAGAAACGGGGTATGTTAGTCAGTGATGATTGGGCCACACTAACGGGAAATGAAATTTATCATCGCGATAATGGACGTTAATCGTAGGTGTAATTTGATCACTAACCAAATGATTTAAGGTATATTTTTCATTGTATAATATCATCAATTAGCGTGATATTTTCCCGCATTTCTCGTTGGTGTGGCTTAAACATGAAAGTCTGAAATTTTCTCTAGCCCCAATCAGGACGGAGAAAGTTATTAGTTGATTTTCCCCCATAGATACTTATTACATATACATTCTTATTTTATGCAAAAAATATATTTTAATCGTGATCTTCATAACTGATTAACGTTTTAGTTTCGCATACACAGACAAAATAGGAATTTCAATTAATCAAAAATTAGATACCTATAAGGAAACGGCTGCACTTCAGCGTGATGGCTTGGATCAACGGAATAATTTTAGCTTATAGCGTATCTTTGCGTCAACAATTAAATCGGTTCATCAAAAAAGAAAAAGATCGCCTATGTATATGGCATTTGGATTTACTATTTATATTCTTATGAAGGATAGTAATTTATTATATGCAGTACTAATTAATACCGCCTGACAGTGCATAAATAACCGGTTTTCAAATTATGTATTTGATCGGTTTTATCATTACAGATTGCATTGCATACTGTTTATTATTTTTTTGGAATGGGAGTCAACTTTAATGTCCGCATTGCTTTATGTATTTACTTATTTAAGTAGGTAGGTTACATATGTATTTAATCTCATACCAGTTGGAGTGTCGATGTTGATGAGAGTCATGCTACGACACGACCTTATGACCTCACAGAAAATCGGCGTGAAACAACTACAGCGTTTTATTTCGCCGTGTAAGTGAGGTTATATTATGCCCAAGCCTTCTTCACCTCCCTCAATCTCTATACCTCCGAAGCCGTAATTACCCAAAAGCCGGCAACGCACTCGCAACTGAAGTGAACAAAGTGAGAGAGCCAGGTTTCGCCACGAATGGGTCGGCTCGACCGGAGTAATACGGCCTTACAGAAAACCGGCGTGAAACAATCACCGCGTTGTGTTTCGCCGTGTGAGCGAGTTTACCGGAGCCCCAATCATTCCCCTCCCCCGATCCCTCCCCAATACCAAAATCTCAAAAACTATTATCCCAAAAAGGTCGGCAACGCACTCCGTTGCGGGTGTCCATGGGCGGCGCTGATTGCTTACCATCAGGTAATCTATCAGCTTGTTTACAAAAACTTAGGGAAAGACAAGACTTGCTAACAAAAACCACTCGACCCTTCTCCGGCTACTGGCCCCGCTTTACCTACATTATTGGCAAAGTTTGTGTTACTTGTTACTACTGAGAAATCCAAAACAAATAAGTATTGTTGGCCATTATGTAGGTTTCGTTATAACTACGTGACTTCAACCAATCCAAAAATAAACCAAAATAATATGTAGTATACCTACCTAAAACGAAAATAACAAACAGAAAATTTTATACTACCTATTCTATTGAACCTATTTCTCAAAATAGACAATTTTTATACCACATTGACGTAAGTTACATAATAATCAGGTTTTGAATTTTGAGTTCTTTTGAGTTCATGAGTACGTATAAAATACTAACCCGTTCTATTTTTCAATAAAGGTCACGTGTGAGACGGGTTTTGAATTAGTTTCCGTAATCCCACGAGTCATTTTGATTTTGGACGAAACATATATCAGTTTACATGCTTAACTTCAAAGGTATTAGACCTCTGTATAATATTTCGTCTGTCTGTACGCAATTTAGTTAACCTCATTAGTTATAATACAATTATTTTTGTCGATGTATAAATAAAACGCTTAAACTTAGAATTTTTGTGAAAATAAAAACATGGACTTTTTTCAAGTAATTAGTGATTTTCTTTGATTGAATATTATTTGAAAAAGTGGATTATTGTTTTGTACTAAAACAAAACCAGGTAAGGGTAACATCGAAACTATATTTTATAACAAGTCCTTCAAAAATTAAATGATTAAAAATGATTTTTTTCAATGTCACCTTTTTAGTAACTTAGTGGTTACTCAATTTTTTGTCTGGAATTTACTCACTGCTTCCAACCTTTTAATTGTGGAAATTCGAGACACTACTTATATGTAGAATAACAAATAGGTACGTGAACCGGCGTTCGCTTGGGGTTGATGAATTAAATTATACAGTGGTATGGTTATACACAAAGTGTACTTTCAATACATATATATATTATCTTGCCGAATGAAAATACAATAATGTCCAAAGGTAAAGGTTCAGAGCAGGAGAAAATATAGGATAGTTTTTGACAGTAAGAGAAGTTTGCCTCTATTCCCATCCAGGGCGTGAAGACAACACTTTAAGTAGATTCCAATACCAATGGTAAAGATAAATGTTACAGAATGCAGTTGCAATACAACCTGTTATTACCACAAAAAAGCTTATATGTTTTAGTTTTAGTTTCTAAGTCTACTTACATCTAGGTATTTAATTCATTAATCTCATGCGAACGCCGGCGTTTGCGCGCCTATTGTGTCTCGATTTACAACGTTTGAAAGGCGGAACGATTTACACGTGGATTTTTCCCTACTCTTTAATTTTTCGTATGGGTTGTTTACTCTTCAGGTTTGAGTAATCGCATGATCTCTAGATTAACAACATTTAATTTTTTATAGACTTATCTGTTTATATCTATTATTAGATTTCACGATTAACTGATTTAAAAAGAATTTTTTTTATGGTATAAGTCGGCAAACGAGCAGACGGATTACCTGTTGGTAAGCAATTGGCGCTGCCCATGGGCACCCGCAACACCAAATGAGTTACGAGTGCGTTGCCGGCCTTTTGGGGATATGGGTTGCGGATAAAAGGATCGGGAAGGGATAGGGGAAGGGGAGGGATTGGGCCTCCGGTAATCTCACTCACACGGCGAAACACAACGCTGGGTTGTTTCACGCCGGTATTCTGTGAGGCCGTGGTATAACTCCGGTCGAGCCGACCCATTCGTGCCGAAGCTTGGCTCTCCCACATTTAAAGAGTAGGTAAATATAGAATTGTTTGCTCGTTCTTCTCCATTTAAATTTACACTTTGGAACGAGCAAATAGCTTCACTAAGAGAAATAATCTTTAAAAGTTTGTTTGACGGTCAAAAGTGATCTAATTAAAACAAATGATTTTTGACTTTGAAAAACTGTAAATGTTAAAACGAGACACAAATACTAGGGGTACCTAATAATTTATTACACAATTATATTAATTAAGTGGATATATACTAATTGCATGCATAATAGCCATCTTGGACAGGTACAAAAAGTGGTTTTTCCGATACGTTCATCTGTTATAAAAAAGGTATTTACCCGAATGACGCATGGAAACAAATTTTTATTCGATTATGAGCTATTAATCCATTCCCATAAATAAAACATCCTATCACATAAAAAAAGTCAACCGGATTTTTTTGCTATACTTACTATATTCAACCGGATTTTTTTCGTGAATAAAATGATGCCTATGGATTCGAACATTGACCTGTCCTATTAAGTGACTCAGTTACCCATTCGTTTTATCTCTCAAGTTATTTTACGTTGGATTAAAAGGTTTAGGTGCTATCTTTTACCACTTTTTGTAGGGCACGTAGCGTAGGTACATCGCGCGCCTCAAAGACACAGTAGGCCACAATGCTTGTGCGTGCTATTATAGCTGTAAAACATCACGCTACGATCAAATGGAGCCGAGCAGCGGGTGAAACCGCTGAATACTTAGTTTATACAACAATAGATAGTGTATATGATATTTTAAATTATTTATCTAATAACGGATTATTGATAAAATGTATGTATTGTTTATATGTAGGTACTTACATATTATTTTCTTAATTATCTAACGTTCTATATGTTAAGGTTGAGTTGGATAATCTTTACTTTTTTGTTGTTTTTGTTTTTATTTAATAGGTCGGCAAACGAGCAGACGAATTACCTGATGGTAAGCAATCAGCGCCGCCCATGGACACTCGCAACGGAGGAGTTACGAGTGCGTTGCCGACCTTTTAGGGATTAGGGATTTGGAGATTTAGGGATTTAGAAGGAATATGGGGAGGGGAAGGATTGGGCCCTGCAGGCAGGATTGGATTGTTTAACATTTTATTTCTAGTCTTAAAAATTATTTTGTTATCACTAAACTTGTTTATAAAGTTTGTATTTATTGTATAATATTTTGGCATAGGTAGGTACACCTATTTCTTATAATTATTTGACTTTTGTAAAGCGGCCTACATTTTATATTAAGGTTATTTGTATGATTATACGTTATGCAAAGTAGGATTATAATATATTATGTTGTTTAGGCCTCTTGGTAGACACGAATCTATAGATAATAATATAATATTTTTAAATGTACATAATGTATATCGGTTATTTATTGATCTTATCTACCTATGCATTTTAAATTAACCTTTAAATCGTGGTAATTAGATACAGATCAGTAGTAAGTATAGTAAGACGTTAGGTGCACGAACGCCGGCGTTCTCTTTGGGTTTGATAAATTAATATTTGTTAGGTATACACTGTCACTACATAATAGTAGGATAATTTATTAAGTGCTATTTTGATGCACATCACGTATAAATTATTAAAGTGTAGTGTTATGTTCGAAGTGGGTAGTAAGCTTAAGCATATTTTATGTGTCTGTGTCATCAATCGGAGTGTTTATTAACGAATTTAGGAATTTCTAAAACGGGCATGGAAGTGGAACCTTAGTATTTAATGTTTTTGGAAATAGGGCTTACAGCTGTCTGTTTGTTCCATGTTCGTTAATATACGACTGCACGGTTGTCGCGGTATCACGGCGGTGTCGTGCGACGTCGCGGGTTTGATTCCTGCACGGAACAACTCTTTGTGTGATCCACGAATTAATTCCTGGTCCGGGTGTGATGTGTACTTATGTAAATTGTGTGTTTGGAAACAGAAGAAAATCCTAGTTAAATAGAAAAATAAAAGAAATGCTGTTTACTTTTTATAACAAACATGATGGTAACCATATACGGCAACAACGCCTGGACCAATTTCGCCAATATTTTTTTGTTGTGTTTCTTATGGTCAGGAGGAGGTTCTTATGAAAGAAAAGAAAAATAAACTTTGAGGGGGAAAATTGGGATATCGGAGGCCTTTCGGTGCTGTTGTGGTGCGCTAATATTAAGTATATAACTATAAGTATATGTAAGTATAAAAATACCTACCTACCTGTATAGGTAAACTCGGAAAATTCCAATAACCAAATTGAACGGTTATTGGAATTTTTCGAGTTTAATTTATGAGCACATATATTTTGTAAAGATTTCATGGGAGTTTTGGATAAATAAAATAGTGTTACACGGAATAACCACGGGGAATTCCAATAACCAAATTAAACGGTTATTGGAATTTTCCGAGTTTAATTTATGAGCACATAGGTTTTGTAACGATTTCATGAGAGATTTGGATAAATAAAATAGTGTTACACGGAATGAACAAAAACTGATCAGTAGATACATGCAAAGCGTTGCCTTATTATTATTCTTGTTGTGTTACTTTTGATTATGGATAACACCATCTTTTGTACCTAATTGATACCTTCGTTTATTATTTTTATATTCGAATATATAGTTAATTAATAAATATTGAATAATTTAGTTTTCGAAAGATAAGAAGGCACTTCTTATATGCGGTCAAATAAGGTACCTGAGTAATCTAAAATGATCTAAAATAATACAGTTCTAGACACTTCTAGAACTGTATTAAAATAGTAAACTGTATATATCTATTATTTTTAAATCTTAGTCGAGCATTCTACCTAAATTACCTAATTCTTACTTTGTTTATCTCTAATAATTTTATAACGGCTCCTTTATTTTATTTTTGATACTAAATCACCTTTTTGACATTCAACTTTGTGTGTAGCCAGTTTTATTAGTTGAAAAAATCTAACCACGACGTCTGTGAATAGTTATTACGCAGTTAGATAATCGTGCATGCATGATGTGCATCTAAGCTGCTAAATCTAAATATACACGTAGTTTATTCCTTTTTTGTGTTATTAAATCATCAAACGACTAGAGAAAGCCTATGTTAGGGCGAGCGAGAGGGGGTGTCAGACTCTTACTGGCTAAAAACCCCCCTTTTTTCTTCTGCCCTACGCTAAAACCTTTAAGGTCCTTATTGCACTTCCCTTGTAGGGCCTGGTCCTGGTCTTGTGGTCTTTTGGCTCTTTGAGGCGCGCACTGCTACGCGTTGTACCTATCAGGCCTGGTTCTGGTCGGGCGGCGAGTTACCCTTGCTCGGCAAAAAAATATAACTTTTAACTACGTGTCAATATTTTTAAATAAGTAGGTACGTAGGTACACTAAAGCTTAATGTTGATAAGCTAGTTATCTTTATAATATTTAGCAACTATTTTGAAACATGGAACATTACCGTAGCTTTCCATTTTTTAATAATTTGTCTTTCATCATAGCTACCAAAAGCTGCAGCTACCATATCAAATAAATCACAACATCCGCGAACCTAAATACCTACAAAACCTGTTATTTTTATTATAATGTTTAATTATATCGCTGTTTATTTTCTTTTTGTCCAAAGGATGAATCTTTTAAGCCAGTTATTGTCACTGCTAAACCCGAGAACTGCTCGGCCATTGATCAATTTGGTGCAATATTTGTTCAGCGCAATAGCCGCTTTGGATTTGAACTCTGATGATTATCCACCTCAGGCTCAAGTGTCAGGTTTGTATATTTATTTTTCTTTAAAACTGTTTTTTTTATTGGCATAGAAAGGCAAATGTGCAGACATTTCACCTGATAGTAAGCAATCGGCGCCATCCTTGGATTCTCGAACGGATTCCAGAATAGTATTCACAAATGCGTTGCCGGTGTTATTGAGCTCGGTAATCTAGGGATTGAGGATGGGAGACGATTTAGAGCCCCGATTACCTCATTCACATGACGAAACAAAAAGCAAATGGTTTTATACCGATTTTTTATTAGGCCTCCCCATTCGTGTCGAAGTAACGTTCTCTCATGTGGACATTATCAATGATCAATTATCAATTTAACTGCACGGTTGGCGCGGTGGCTGGGCAACTGGCTGCCGCACACCGTGTCGCGGGTTCAATTCCTGACCGAAAGACTCTTGGTGTGATCCACAAATTATTGTTGTTCTGTGTCTGCATATGGTGTGTATGTGAAATTTTATTTTTGTTAACGCAGCAATTTACACAAAACATGTATTCTCTTCTGTTAGGAAATAAAAAAATATTTTTGTTTTGTAAGTAATTCTAAAGTTTTAATTAATTAAGATGTTCTGCAAAGCATTAAACTAGCAGACACAACGGAATTTTTCGTTGTATTAAGCCGGCGTTGTAAAAATCGGCGTGACACTATCTTGTATAAGTTATGTGGGATGACTCCAGTCGAGCTATCGGCCTACGGGTGCCCTAATTGACTCTCTCTCTCACAAAAGACTTTAATTATTTTCAGATGGTCAAGTCTTCGATTTTATAATAGTAGGAGGCGGGTCAGCTGGTTGCGTTCTTGCTAACAGATTAACAGAGATAAGTGGCTGGAATGTTCTTCTGATAGAAGCAGGAGGAAATCCACCACCGACGGCTAAGGTAATAATAGTGGTGTTTATCATAATATAATTCAGTATATTTATTGATCTACCGCTTTTTTAGTTGTGTATTTTTAACTCAATTATCACATCATCGATGTGAAGCATTACTTTTATTCTTGATGTTATTGTTTAAGAAATAAATTTTGTTAGATATCAATTTTGGTATGTAATTTGTACTTATGTTAGACCTAGGTACTTTACGACGTATTATCATTTGATTGCAGCACCCAGGCTTCTTCCTATTCGTCGACTACTCTGACGCCGATTGGAACTATTATACTGTCAACGATGGTTATTCTAGTCAAGGACTTCAGAAGAAAAGCGTTCATCTTACGAGAGGCAAGATGCTTGGTGGGTCAAGTGGAGCCAACTATATGTTCTACGTTCGAGGCAATAAGCATGACTATGAAGATTGGGTTGCACAGGGCAATGAAGGGTGGGACTGGGACACAGTCATGTACTATTTCAAAAAAAGTGAACGACTCCACGACAATGATATCATGCAAACGACAAACAGATATTTTCACAATACTAGAGGACAATTAGGGGTAACCAGACCATTATGGGCGAAGAGAACGGAAAAGTACCTGCGAGCCTTCCAACAAAATGGTCACAATATTATCCAAGATTGCAATACTGATGAACAATTAGGATACGTTATGCCACCGTATACAATCGACAACAATGTACGACAACATACCGCCACGGCATTTATCGAGCCAATCAAACATCGAAAAAATCTATTTGTTTTAAGAAATACTTTAGCTAGAAAAGTAATGTTCAATCGTTATAGGAAAGCTGTCGGAGTAGAAGTTAAATTACCAAATAATAGAATTATAACTTTATTAGCTAGACGAGAAATTATTTTGTCAGCTGGAGCCATTAACAGTCCACAACTTTTGATGTTGTCGGGTATAGGACCAAGTGATCATTTACAAAAATTTGGAATTGAATTATTACATGATTCGCCAGGTGTTGGAAGCCACCTGGAAGATCATCCTGTAGTCCTTGTCCCTATTGCCGCGGAAAAGGAGCCCTCGTCTGTTATAGATAATATAGATCTAATTACAAATCTGGATAAATTCCCCACGCCTTGCATTATGGGTCACGTAGCTCTCAACAAGTCACAGTCCTACCCAGACTACCAAACTTCAATATTTCCTTTACCGGCCTACTCTCCGATTACGTCATTAATTTGCTCGTATGTTTATCGGTTAGATGATGAAGTATGCTACGCTCTATCAGAGGCTAATAAAGACAGACGACTTTTATTCCCTATTTTATCACTACTTCATCCTGAATCTAAAGGTAGAGTGCGACTTAGGAGTCGCGACCCGGAAGTGAGCCCTTTAATCTACAACGGTTATTATTCAAATAAAATAGACATCGAGAATCACGCACGATATGTGGAAGATTACTTGAGTGTAGTAAATACGCCGTATTTTAGAAGCATTGGGGCAGAGGTTGTGAACCCAAGGTTACCTCAGTGTAAGTCCATACCCTTTGGTAGTCATGAATATTGGAAATGTTTTGTTTTAAACACTGCAACAACGCAGTGGCATCCTTCAGGGTCTTGTGCAATGGGTCCCGAAGGACGAGGCGTTGTAGATGAAAGATTACGTGTCAGAGGTGTTGCTGGTCTTAGAGTTGTGGATGCTAGTATTATGCCTTCCATAATAAGTGGTAACCTAAATGCACCAACGATAATGATCGCCGAAAAAGCGTCCGACATGATAAAAGCTGATAATGGAATAAATCCTTTTAAATAAAAAATGGTGTTTTATTAAGTTGCGGCTTAGGTACGACGAAATCAGGTGAAAGTTTGGATTGAGATCGATCGGTATATATTTACACAAGCATTTATAATTATACTACCATTACTACCTAATCTATATTAATCCTTTACATTTACAATTACAACCTAAAAACTTACGCTAAGCTTAACTGTACCAATAGTTTTATTCTCATCAAATACATAATATGTATACCTATGTACCTCTGTCTCTGTATTTGTTCTCTATTTACTGTATGTGTGATGTGCATAAATAATTAAATAAATAAATAAATAAATAAAATAAATAATATCTTTGGATTTGTTTCGTTGCGTGCGGGATCTAAGACAGTCAGAATTCATGTCCCTGGGATGCACCGGACTTCAGTTTCGTAACTATTGTAGACCCTGGTTTACAGGATTTTATAGGAAGTTGTAGCGGGCTTGTCCAATAAAAAAGACTAACTACTTAGCAGATGGAAAAAACGAACTGAGTTTGCTTTTACAATTTCCTACTGGAACTAAGTAGATAGGTTTCTCCTAATTTCTTTTCTACTAGGTATAAACTATTCATAACTTATAAAAGAAGTGAAACGTTACTTACTGTTCTATTACTAGTATACTATTCAACAAACAGTCAACAAGAAAAGGCATTTTCAGTACCTATTTTAGTTTTACTCCTGCAAAGAGAATCTAAAGCACTACGTTCAATAATCACAACGTTTTCCCGCCTATTTTATTTTGCTTAAATTCTCGGTGGTTACTATCTGAATTTATGATAGGTACTACTTTTAAGCATGGCTACCAAAACATGCTGAAATCAATAACCGTAAAATTAGTGTTTTTTTGATGTTGATCGATTTTTAAAATAATTTGTACGAAGTCTCTGTCAAAAAAATGGTAAAAAATATCTAATTAATATCGGATTTTAATTTCCGCCGAAAGTCAATAGTTCGTACTGAGTTAGTAATACTCCGATCAACGGAAACGTGGGGTGGTTAGCTTGTATTGTTTTATATTATATCAACGAGTGATACAATTTAATAATTCTAAAAAAATAGTAAAATTATTTACGAATGATCACTTTGCTTAATGTCATAGACACTATATTTATTAAAATTTTTAGTCTATGGAATTAGAATGACGTTTACGTTTGCTGTGCTACTTGCTACTTGTCAAAAGTTACAAACAATCCAATTTTGTACTTTTAGCTCGTTAGCTATTCGTAAATAAATAAATAATCGACCTTAGATAAATAATGATTAATTAGATAGAAAGTAACGTTGTTGTTATAAGTGTAGTGCTAAGGAATACGTGAATACATTAATTTGTAAACACAATTCAACAAAATGACGAACCTTGATGTGAGTAATAAATTGAATTGGAGTTTTACATAATTTATGAGTAAAGAAACTATGTACAATTCATTACATTACTATTTTTAACTAGGTTGAGCGTTCTTTTATTGATTTCAATAAGAATATTGTTACATTTAACGATATTGTTTTGCTAAATATAACAAGACAATTTGGCTATTCTGTGGGTATTTATTGAAGTTTATTAAACACTTCTTTAAATTATCCTAATTATCAATAACGTTTGAGACAAATTTAATTCGTAATAAACGTTTGTAATTCCATGCCTAAGCCTAGTATATTATTATTATTGTTAAACTGCAAATTAAATACTACTTTCTAATTTTAAGGTAAGCAACAGTAGTACTGACAGCAGTTCAGGCTCTTCGTCGGACTCAAGCAGTAGTGGAAGTACCTCCACAAGCTCAGGGTCTGCTTCCAGTAGTTCAGATTCAGATTCCTCGACTTCTGACACCCCAGCAACCACAACAACTAACACAACTCCTGCACCAAAATCACCTGTTAAAATAGAAGAAGTTAAAAAGAAAGAAGAACCAAAACCAAGAAGGCCTTCAAAAGCTAAAGTTTCTTCATCCAGTGATGATGAACCACCTAAGCCAACAAGTCCAAAATCTGCTCCACCCAGAAGACGCATTTCAGCGAAACCGAAAGCAGCTGCTGCAGTGTTAGCTAAAGGGAAAACTGCTCAAAGAATGTCTTCTGGAGCTAAAACTCCTAAACCAATACCTAAAACAATACAAAAAGCTCCACCAAAGGCTGACACAGGAGCACTAAAGAAAAAGAGTATTTTCTCACCAGACAACAGTTCGGAATCAGAATCAGAGAGCAAATCTTCTACAACTAAAAGTCCTAAAGCCTCACCAAGACCTAAACGTACTTCTAGAAAGTCTAGTGATGAGAAAGATACATCACCACCAACAACTCGAAACAATAGTGCAGATAATGACGATTCTAATTCAAAATCGGACACTAATACTAAGCGTAAAAGTGGGAACAGGTCAAGTGGGCCTCCACCTAAGAAAAGTATTGAGGATAAAAGTGCCTCATCATGTACTTCAAGTCAGTCGTCTGCTGAATCCATTTCATCTGACAGTGACAGTGAACCATCACCAAAGAAGGAACCATTGAAGACTGGGAAGACAAAACCTCCAGCTACTAAGGTTTGACATAATTATTTAAAATTCCTTATTTCCTTATTGTTTGTAATGTTTTCCGTCTCTTTTTATGAAAAGTCTGTCTAATAATCATTATCAAATATTTGAACTAAGGCCTTTGGCCAGCAGTGGACGTCTTCCGGCTGATGATGATGATGATGATTTGAACTAAATGAAAATTCAGGAAACTTAATTTAAGTTATATTTATACTTTCACACTGCATTTTTATTAGAGACCTGCATTGCAAATTTGCAACTTAGGTACTAATAATAATTATATTCATAAGTCAGTGTTACAATGAATTAATTTTTATAAAGAGGTCATAAAGCAACACATCTATCTTCGATATTATGTATTTAAAAACACTTAGGACAATTTCAGTAAATCAATAATTTATAATCTATATCTATATTATTATATAAAATCAATGCCACTTTTCGTTGTAATATTATAACTCAACAATGCCTTTACCAATTTGGCTAATTTTGGTCTTAAATTATTTGAAAAAGTGCCAAAAAAGAGAGGTTTGTTAATTTAAAAAAATCTGAAGAAGTGTTTAACTGATATCGACGCGGGTGGTGCCGCGGGCGAACGCTGGCCGTTTTATATAATACGTCTTTCGAAAAAAATCCTATAAACAACAATTAACACAATTAACTGTCTATTTCAGGAGATAAGAGACCAAGCAGCGAAGAGTGGTGATTCTGGTGACTCAGCAGTGGCCTCTATGCCAAGGAAGTTGACCCGGTCACTCTCAGCAAGGGTCTCAAGACTGGCTACTGTGTCACGAAGGACAAACAACACAGATACTGACTCTGATGAAGAGAAGAGTAATGATAAAACGTAAGATTGTATTAATAAAAAAATACTGAGGATATCATGTTGAACAGGTGCCAAAGAACCATTAGACTAGATAGATGGGGTCGTATGGGCCGATATCCTTCTCTGAGAAGTAATTTGATGGCTATCCTTCCTCTGAAAAGGTGTATTTAATTAGATACCTAAAACACAATCAAGTGTAATTAATGTCTCTTACTCCTCAATTAGGTAGACTAGCTTTTAACACATTCAATTAACAAGTTATTCTTATTAAATATCTATGGGCCCTGTTGTTTCTTGAAACTAGTCGAGTAACACGATGTTTTCGCCATTACAATGTTAAAAACACTTTTATTCGTTGATTTTACGATATCCGTTTTTTTCTAGCTACAATCAAAAAGAATATTACTAATGCTAAAGTAACTCTGTCTGTCTGTAACAGACGGAGACAGAGACTGTCTTTTCTTCACGTCTAAACTACCTACTGAAACGATTTCTGTGAAATAGTTTGGAACTCTAGAAAGGACATAGGATAGTTTTTATACCAAAAATCTGCAAGAAGTCGTTATTCTACGCGAACGGAGTCGCGGGCAAAAGCTAGTAACAGAAATAAGTACAGTATTTGAAAAAAAAAATGCAATAGCATGCAAAAGTCATTGGTAACTGTCGATTTAGAGTTTAGACAATCCAAAAAAACGGTATTGATTGTGGCTAGGTAGTTGTTTAGTTAAGGTTTTGTTTTTTTTTCTTATTTTGTTATTAATTTTTTAAGTCACATAATTTTTATATGTATCATTTAGTTTAGATTTTTAGTATTATTTTATTTTCTTCTTTTTTTTTGTATTTTTGTTTTGTTTTATGTGTGTGCGCTTGCGCGAAAATAAATGTTTTTCTTTCTTTCTTTCTTTCTTTCTTTCTTTCTTTAGTACCGAATTCAGAGAGAATCGAGTATTATATCTTGTGGAATTAAGTATTAAGAGAGAAAACTAATATCTTTCCAGGAGCAACAGCACAAGCAACAGTACTAGCAATAGCAACAATAGTACCACAATGAAGAAGAACATCAGAGGTCGGGGGCCACCGATCAGGTCGCCAGTGGTACTCCCATCCCCACAGGAACCGGCCAGGCAGCGGTGTCCTGTACGCGGCTGTGACTCCAGCGGACATTTGGGTAAGATTGCATATATACTTATTTAAAACTAGCTTGTCTCGCGCGGTTAAACCCGCTGATCGGCTCTTTAGCGTGATGTTTTGTAGCCTATAGCATTCAGAAACACCTAATATATCATTGAAAGAAGTTTGGCAATCCGACCAGCGGTTCCACAGATTACCCCCACATACAAACTTACTAATTTTACCTTGTATTTTATATTTATAATATTAGTATAGATATTATAAAGCTGTTTGTTAGTTTGAGCTTGTTAATCTTTGGAACTACTGGTTGACAAACGAGCAAACGTTTTACCTGATGGTAAGCAATCAGCGCCGCTCATAGACACCCGGAATAACTGAGGAGTTATGCGTGCGTTGCCGACCATTTGAGGATTAGGGATTTGGAAATTGGGGGAGAGGAAGGATTGGGTCTCCGGTAACCTCACACACACGGCAAAACACAATGCTGTGGTTGTTTCACCCCGGTTTTCTGAGACGCCGTGGTGTCACTCCAGCCGAACCGACCCATTCGTGCCTTAGCTTGGCTTTTCCACACTTACCCTTTGTTCAGCAGTGGGCACTTAAAGGTTGATGATGTTTTGATGTTGAAAAGTGACTGTACCTAGTGAAAAAGAAAAATAATTTTTTTGGCACCGAACACGGCATGTAATATACAAAAAAATTAGACGCAGAAATTTATACAAAAATTTGGAAAATAAAAAATAAAAACAAATGCAAGAATGTCGATAGTAGTGGTGTATTAGGTACTTATACCTATACCTGTACTTATACTAAAATTCTCAAAATGAATAAATCCTTAATTTATATATCCAAAGAGTTTATATAGATGCACTCTTAAAGATTGTGAGTACGCATATGTGAGCGCCATGTTTGAGATGACAAAGAATTAACATTTAATGATAGATCCCAACATTTGTTATTTTTTTTAACAACTGTTCTCTTCATTGTTCTCACATAAGGGTACAACAATGTATACTAAATGTTATATTAGTGAAATTGTAAAAGATACATATTTTTTTTTTTAAAAGAGTAACGATGGAGTTTCTTGCTCGTTCTTCTCCATTGGAATCTACAATTTGGAATGAGCACCTAGCTTCACTAACGAACAGACTGACAGACTACTTTTCTATTTTGACTATTTATGGTTTAGTTGGAATAAATGATTTTGACTTGGGCTTTATATGAGGGGTGTTTGTGTCAGGCGGTAAGTCAGCGAAGCACATGACGTTCGAGGCGTGCCCTATGTACCACAACGTGACGGCGGCGTGGTGCGTGGCGGCGGGCGAGGAGCGCGCGGCGGCGGCGGGCGCGCGGCGCCGCGCCACCATGCTGCTGCACGCGCGGCCCCGCGCCATGCCCACGCTCGAACAGCGCGCCTACCAGCTCAAAGTCAAGGTCACATACTGTTTGCACCCTGTTCTCATCTATACTCACATTTTTATTTATGTCTTACGGTAACAGTAAATATTTTATTTTATTAACAGTAAAAATTGACTTCACGGTTAGTGCGGTGGCTGGGCAACTGGCTGCCGTGCAACGTGTCGCAGGTTCGATTCCCGCACGGAACAACTCTTTGTGTGATCCGCGAATTGTTGTTCCGTGTCTAGGTGTCATGTGCACGTAAAATTGTATGTTTGTAACCGCACTCACGACCTAGGAGAAAATCCTAGTGTGGGGCAACGTTTAAAAACAAAAAGAAAAAATAATAATAATTGAAGATCAAAATCAAAGTGATAAATCAATCACATATGTCGATTTTTATAAATAATTTGAACCTAGTAGTGATAAATGTAATATATGGCTAAGAGTTGCGGGGCGGGGGTCTCCAGAAGCACGCTGGAAAAAATATCTTTTTTTCTTAATCAAACTCTATTTCACAGGACATGCGCTCAAAATGGAAAGGCAGTCAAGAATTACGGGAGAAGCTAGCCGCATCAGGTAACGAAGAGATTACGGAAGATAGAGAGCCAATACTCGAAGGGTTTGCCCCAGATTATGATTTAAGGCTGTTCCGAGAAGCTCAGGCCTTAGCTGCCATTAAAATCGAAGAGGAACTCGGAGATATACCTACAGATAAAGGCACAAGGTACGTTTTTGAATAACTTATATTATTGCAATAGCAATGGGGACCGTTTCTTTTTTGCGCCAGATGTCGCTAATCTACCTAAGGGTTAGTTTGGCCAATCATTGTAATCTTAAAAATTTCTTTAGGTGTGAAATAAGCTAATTTCTTATTGGACGAAAAGACAACAGATCTACAGTGGCGCCATCTGGTGAACAAAAATACGGTACTTTATGGTCATCATCAATATTCAGTTCATGATTGACTGTGTTTTGGAAAATAGGATATTTTTATGATATTTTTGGAAATAATTAGATTTAGTTTTAAGGACGAATACAAAACTGCGGCAAACATGCTTACGGAATATCTGATGGTAAGCAAAAGTAGTATTGGAAAAGTTAAATCCTATCTCTACTGTAATCTTACCTACCTCTACATATCATCAGGTAATCCGAATACAATACTAATATCAATATTGGGCCTTCAACTCCAAGAATAAGCTTGATTTTTGTGAAATTTTTAAAATGATATTTATTTAATTTCGTCATCATGATCAGCCTATAAATAACCACTGCTGAGCAAAGGCTTCTTCTCGAAACGGAAAAGGTTTGAGCATTAATCACCACGCTTGCTCAAGGCCGATTGGCGATTTCATGTCCAGGTTTCGTCACGATGTTTTCCTTCACCGTTATTTATATAGTATAATAACTTTTAAAATGTTTACCTCCAGATACGTGGTGATGGGTAAATACATGATGGAGGTATGGTACCAGTCGCCGTACCCTGGCGACGCGGCGCGGGTGCCCCGCCTGTTCGTCTGCGAGTTCTGCCTCAACCACCACAAGAGCGCCACGGGCGCGCAGAGGCACAAGGTCAAGTGTGTTTGGAGACATCCCCCCGGCGACGAGGTGAGATTTGTTTTGATACTAGCACATTTAATAGATGATCAGAATTCATATATTTATTTGTAAACAGGTATGTGAGGTGTGTGATCCACATAGGTGGATTGTCCATGTTTTGCCGAGAGACGTACAAACAAATATATGACGGCGCGTCGATTAATTATATTGAATTTTTAAGGAGGTTTTATCACAATTGATGAGGACGAGGGTACAATGAATCGTACTCTGGCGGAACGTCAAACAGACAGTTCTGCGTGAGCATTATGGTGGAGAGCGAGCGCTGTGACTGTCATCTGGGACGGATCGCCGACGTCCGTTATTTTTGTAATTTATTCGGTCTGATTAAAAAATCGTTCGCCCTGCGATGGACTGTGAAGACGATGAACGGGATGTTGATGTTTGTATCAACCCCCCGGGGCCTTCATATTATATTACAGGCGCACACAACAAATTCTGCCCAAACTGTGCTGTGAAACTTGGTGGTATCATACAAGAAAAACTTGATAAAAAAATTTATTAATATCTTTTTTCTTTGTTTTTCTTTCTTTCTTTGTTTTTTTTAAAACGTTGCCCCACATTGGCATTTTCTCCTGTGTCGTGGGTGCTGTTTACAAACATACAATTTCACATACACATGACACCCAGACCCGGAACAACTATTTGTGGATCACACAAAGAGGTGTTCCGTGCGGGAATCGAACCCGCCCGATAGTACCTATATCGAAACGCTGATATAGTTGTAATATCTATATTTCCCCACAGATATATAGAAAAGACAACCTGAGCGTATGGCAAGTAGACGGACGGAAGCACAAGCAGTACTGCCAGCAGCTTTGTCTCCTGGCCAAGTTCTTCCTCGACCACAAGACGTTGTACTACGATGTTGAACCTTTTCTCTTCTACGTCATGACCAACGCTGACCACGAGGGATGCCATATCGTCGGCTATTTTAGTAAGGTAAGTCATTAAATAAGTTTGGGAGAGCCATGCTCGAGCAAACTGATATCGCGACTAAGTTTATTTATTAAGTGTGGGAGAGCCATGCTTCGCCACGAATTGGCCGACTCAAGAAGAGTGATACCACTGCCTCACAGAAAACCGGCGTGAAACAACCACAGCGTTGTGTTTGCCGTGTGAGTGAGGTTACCGAAGCCCCAATCATTCCCTTCCCCCGATCCCTCCTCAATCCCTGAGTCTCCAAATCCCTTATCCCTAAAAGATCGGCAACGCACTCGTTACTCCTCCGTTGCGGGTGTCCATGGGCGGCCGCTGGCAACAAACCGGCCCGGCGTGAAACAACCGCAGCGTTTGTTGTATCTTCGAAAGACTGACAACGCACGTGCTACTTCTGTTAGTGTTGTCCATCCGTTTTGTTATTTGAGTCATCGTAAGTGCAAGTGCCAATAAGATAATATTATTGGGAGATTCGATTTTCAAAATAGGTAGAATTATGCCAATTTGAATTTGGAAATAAAACCGTTTAAATAGAAAGAATGGTAAACAATTACACCCGGTTTCCGAAAGGCCGATCAATGCTAAAATCAATTTAATCTCTCAACATCAACATATCAACAACCAATCAGAAGACATAGTTGATTTTAACATTCATCGGGCTTTCCGAAACCGGGCATTAGTCAAAGTAATTCCAAGATACAATACAAAGTTTGTAAAGGGCACAATTAAGATTTCAGGTAAAAAGATAATTAGTCTAGTCTTTTTTCCGAATCGAAAACAGTATTGCAGTTTCCTTGGTCAAAAATTAATTAGTTGACGTTATTAAAGTGTAATAATACTTTCATTCCGATCTCCTCAATTTTAGTTTTTTTTTACCATATTTTTCAGAAAAAAAACTTAATTACTGTCATGATACTTCGCAATATTTGTAATATGTATGACACATATTACATACATTGCGAATTCGTATAAAAGTATCGTTTTAAAAAAGTCCATAAAAGTATCGAATTTTGGTTGGATACAATCGGATAGGACAGGACATAATCGCTTTTTTTTATGTTTTGTTTTTGTACTCACTACTTACACAAGTTACCTGTGATTATGCGCTCTCTTCGTAGTTCGAAACATTATCAAATAGTTCACATACACATAACATCCAGGCCCGTAACTACAATTTGTGGATCACAGAAACAGTTGTTCTGTGCATGATTCGAATCCAATACGTTGCGCGGCAGTTATTTGCCCAGGTACTGCGCCAACCGTACACTCAGTTAAGAACGCTAGTCAAATATTTTAATTGATTTGGTACTCCTAATGCAGTAAAAAAATCACTGGTGAAAAGTTAAATACTTAGAAACTTTCATAAACTCCATCTTATTTAATATTTCAAAGACTTACCCAAAAAAATTGGGTATTCTACTTGATCAAATAAAGTTTAAAATCAAAGTCAAAAAACATATTTTGAAACTTCGGTATGGAATAATAGTGTGTCAGTAAAGATTCCAAGGTTTAGATTTGAACGGACTAATATTCGCTTACACGCCGCGCCGTCCACCGAACAGAAATTACTCCCAACATTCAATCGATATGGTAAGAACGCGCTCACACTACCTAAATAAACCATACATCTGCCAGACAGACAGACAGACAGTACTAATTATACATCTATCTACTACGAAGCGTTATACACATTTTATAATTTAAACTTAATTTCCAAAGTTCTAAGGTTCAATGTCAATTAAAGAATAGATTGATCTGCTTGGAACATATGACATATGTATGATCAAAATTAATTTAAAACTATATCGAAAAGATGTAAGGTTGAATATCGATTAATTTAATATTTGGGCATGTAATAAGTTTTGTACATACATATGTGTCTCCAAGCTTTGGTACCTAGTTAACTTAAACTTTATTATGAAGGATTAAGATTGAGTATGTTAAAATAAATTTCGTAGGAAGTGTATAGTTTGAACGGCTTGTATTTCATAAATATTCAATATGATATAGGATGTGTTTGTGTAATCTGATTGGTAAATAACGCAGTAGACTACATTTTTGAAACGTTTTTCGAATTACACTTCCTGGTGACTACAAATCAAAAAAAAAGTCAAAAATGATTTATTCCAATTAGATCTTTACAGGCACTTTTGAACGTCAAACAAAATTTTGAAGATATAGTGTCAGTCTGTCGGTCAGTCCTTTTAGTGAAGCGCTATTTGCTTGTTCCAAAGTGTAGATTCCGATGGAGAAGAACGAGCAAGAAACTCCATGGTTACTCTTTTTAAATCAGTTTCACATACAGATTCCCTTTACAAACAGTTGGTTCAATTATGTGAGAACAGTGTAACACTAATATTTATTCAAATACAAAAATAAAGTAACCTTAAGGACAATAGACTGACAAATAAATATTATAGACATTAAAAGAATCAATTCTTTTGATTGTTGACAATTGGTTCCCGCCCGTTGCCTATTTAAATTAGATTTATAACATAACTAAATGCCATAAGACTCAGAATTCAATCAAGCTCATGATTCGTCACAAACGGGCATATTCGACCTGAGTATGTATGGTGATACTTTGGCCTCACAGAAAACCGGCGTGTAACAACTCTTGAATTGTGTATCGCCGTGTGAGTAAGGTTACTATTATATATTATCATTCTCTCCACACCCTTCTTAAATCCCTAAAGACCAAGACGGCATGGCGCCGATCAGGTGATCCGTCTGCCATGCCGTCTGCAAAAAAACTGCATCCTGTTTTTAACTAATCATCAGAATAGGACCTCAAACACAGTGATACCACGGCCTTACAGGAATCCGGCGTGTAACAACGCAGCATTATGTCTCGCTGTGTGAGGTTACCGAAGGCCCAAAACTCCCTCTCCGTCCCCACATAACGTCCCCATAACGTCGGCAACTCATTCCTTACTCTTCCGTTGTTCAGGGTTTCATGGGCAGCGACGTTGCTTACCATCAGATAAACCGTCTGCTCGTTTGCCATCCTCTCACATAAAAATTAAGTATTTAGCAATTAGCCCTTTCAGGTTCTACAAATCAAAACCGCAACAAATTCATTACCATATTTGACAATCTCCTATAGGTAGCTTGCCAACCGAACGAAAATTATCGCAAATTTCCGCATACAAACGCAACCATAATTGTATATAGTACGTTGCTTGTGTAGTATACTATCGTCGTACTATGCCGGCCATTCAGTCTGCGCGTCAGCTGTAAGTTCAACGACCCGACCGGGCGGGAAGGGGTGAGCCACGCCCCCAAAATGCACCCCCTAGTCCCCCCTCAACGTAGCCACTGCAATACGTGAAAATTAGAGACTTGATCATTAATATATTATTTGTAGATCGTAGTTTTGGTAATTATTCCTGTTCATTCATGATTATTTTGTGTTGCAGATTAAGTAATTAACTATTGAAATTTTATTGTATTTGTAATTAGGTTGTTTATCATTGATGTGTTATAGACATATTTCCAACAAAAATACATATAATAATATGTAAGTCTAAAATCATATAAGGATAGTTTAGGCTGTATGTTTTATAAAAAATTACCAAGGTATTATAGTTTTACTTTAGTGTCCATGTTTTCAGAATAATTATACTTATGAACTACATTTCAGATTTCGATCGATTTCCATAATAATGTACATTGTCTTGTTGATCGAGTACCTGAAAAGGTATCGACTTCGATTCCCGGGTCAGGTAAAGTCATTGTCTTATTTTTTTTCACGACTGACATAAAACAATTACTGACACGTAATACGATCTTTCTTGTGTTAAAACTTACAAAAATACAAATTACTTTGTTTAAATTAATAACCCTTTCAGAAAAACAAATGGTACCAACAGAAATCCCATCTCAACAATTACTCCCGGCTCCATATTCGATTCAGATCAAAAATTTAATTCGACCGTTACAAACGGCAGACGGACAGACAGACAGACAGACAGCTCTACGTATAGCTATAGTAGAGGGTCGAATATTAAAAGACTGGAGAGCCCCGACTAACGTGTACGTTATCTTTTGTCAGTAACATTATTATATTATTATTTATGGAAACATTGAGAAATGATTGTGTTATTTTTGTATAGTAGATTTTTTTATGTGATACTGTGCTAAAAGAGCAGTTCGATTACCTGATGGTAAGCAATCAGCGTCACACATGGACATCTGCAATACTAGATAAGTTGCAAGTGCGTTGCTGGATTTTTGAAGATAAGGGGTTTTAGAGTTAGGATTTGGGGGTAACCTGTATTTTAGTATGCACTTTTGGTTTGTAGTTTGCATGACTACAAATGCTTAACTGTAGGTATGGTATTTTATGGTATTCAAAACGGCAACTTAATTAAAATATTATACCTTTCTTACCAAACTGACATTTGTAAGAGAGAATCAATTCGCCATATTCTTTAATTAAAACTTAATAAAAAGATATTTTTTTTCAAGCCTTCATTTTTCAGAATCAGAATCAGAGCGTTTATTTGTGAAAAATAGGTATTTACATTTAGATCTTAGGTTATATAATATAGGTGCGGTATGTTTTGCCGTGAAGGCGTACAAATATTAAAATAAAATTGAAGAACTTTAACAATTAAAAACTACATACATAAGGAAAAAAAAACAACAAAATTAAACTCTTACATGTTAAAAGGACCTATTTGTTTTAAACTATTATAATGTATAATCAAAACTAACACAATAAAGAAACAGTCTTAAAAGATCTCTAAGCAGTCTTAAAAATCTTACTCATAGGTGTCTAACTAATAAATTAATATTATAAACTATCATTTAAAAAATCTTCTACAGTTTTAAAATACAACTATATTTATCATCCCTTAAAATGAAACATGATCTGAATAATTGATTTCCAATCAAAAGCTTTTATCTCAATTTATTCAATAAGTCATTCGGATCCATAAACAAATACACGAAATTCACTAAAACCTCTATAAATATTTTCATTAACTTTGACACGCCCGTAGCGTATTAAAAATTCATAGTTACAAGTACAATACAAAATATACCTTAGCATACTAGAATTAGGGATGCATTTTAAATAAAACTTATATCTCTGTTCCAAATGGTGTAAAATAAACCTTAGTTCAACAGAATTAAGGCTGCATTTTGAATAGGGCTTGTATTTATTTCGCGATTGCAGAGCTTGGCGGCTACGTACTACTGTCTACGCGCGGCGTAGCGGCGTAGCACTCGACGTAAACTACGTGACGTAGCTCGTAGACAGTCTACGGCGTAGTAGAGTCGAGTGCTCGGTCTCTACATAGACATAAATTAATGTTGTATGGCTTTTTTATTGTAGAGTTCGAGGCATTATTGCGTTTTATGGTATTGTTGTGGTTTTGATAATACATATTTCATTCGTTTGGAGTTATAAGGATTAGACAATGTAAATTTTCTTTTGTTCTCAGCTTTGTATACTATTCATAACATATTCTCAATCATAAACTTGTTCAATCTATTTTTAATCACATATAATTAGAGTTTTGTTTATTTCACCGAAAGTAAGTCTTTAATATGTATTTAATTTTGCAATCTAGCAGTTTCGTGAAGATCACGATTTAACTTTTTAAAGCGCTTTTTGAATTTTAATTTATGAGCGAAAGTAGTTTTCTCCTAAAAATAAAAAATCCAATTCGCACTCCTGAATGTACAAGAACAATACACCTCATTGGCATTCTAAATTCAAAAATATAATTTAAAACAGTCAAAACAAAAGGTGTGCCCTAAAACACAGCCTTTAGAACGCCCCCCCACCCCCGTCTGAAACGTAGACAGGCTGATCGATCGTTACACGGTACTGTAAAATTTCGCATCTTAAACGTATACAGCTTAAGATCCAGACAGTAAGGTCAATGCCCTCTGCATCCGGACTCTTGGCTAGACGAGGTTTTGTACGTTTCACCTTAGATGGTGGATGGTACTGTTTATCAAATTGTAATTGAAGTATTTTTAGCTTATTGGTTATTAAAAAGAGTTTTGAAAATCACTCTAGTCGAGGAGCGAATGTCCTAATATTAGTATAAATGTGAGAGTTTGTGAGATTGTATTGATGTATGTTTTTTTATTCTTTCACTCAAAAACGACTCAACCGGTTTGGTTGAAATTTATAGTATGTATTTAGGTGATACTGAACGAACTATGCGGGTAAAGTTATACGCGGAAGCTAGTAAAAGTATGAAAGAGTTACAAAAACACCAAACACCATCTTCCTTTTTGAAGTCGATACAAGTAAGTTGTCAATAGTAACATATGAATAAAATAATATGAATGAAGTACCTCCTTCGTCATTTCCTAGGTCAAAAATAAATTAATTCGACGTCTCAATACAATAAAATATTGAAAAATAACTATACTTTTATTCATCGATCGATCAATACACTGAATTTTAGATATTTTTTATTAAGAAATAAGTAAGCTATTTAACGCAAAAAAACTATGACGTCATAACTCAGTTTTTTATAGAAATTTCAAAGTATCGTTTGTGACATTTGGATAAAAGTATTGAATTAGACTAGTTGGAAACTACCGTATTAACGTGCATTTTGATAGTGCATATATATATTTCATTTACGTTGAACTATAAAGGACCTTAGTGAAGTTTGATTCGATTCGACCTCGTACGTCTCCCAAATCGCCGAGTCCCGTGATTACTGTAGACATTATGTAATACTTTTATTTTCGGCACTACTTTTAATTTAATGGCATCCTTCTTGATCAACATACATAATGATGTTGCAACTGATTATTTTATAGGCACACGTACTTCTTTAGCTGAACTTTAACTTTACTTTTAGAATTGCTTTAGGTGAAATAAACAGCTTATACCTACTGAGCGTCCCAGGCCAGCACCGCGGAGGCAATCCTTCGCAACTGTTGCCAATTGAGCTTGGCTAATTATTTTTCATTTACTTATTCTTAGTAAAACTTATTCGTATTAAATTCTTCTACAATTAAACTTCATCCAAAGGTTGTCTGGAAGAAATTGCTTTTAAGCGATAAGACCGCCAATTAGTGTTTTTTATAATTATGGTGTACAATAAAGAATATTCATTCATTATTTTATTAAGTGTTGCCCCACAAAAGAAATTTTCCCTATGTCTTGGGTACGGTATGTTTAAAAACATACATTATCACAAAAACACCACAGACCTGGAACTACAACTTGTAGATCACACAAACAAAGAGTTTTTCCGCGACAAGTTGCACTGCAGCTAGTTTTAATGAATGAGTCATTATTGTATCTTTTATCTCATACTGCAACCCCAAATCGACAAGCGAGCATGATACGATAGAAAAATTTTGATTTATCGAAGATGTATTCTAGAATTGTTTAATTTGACATAATTATGTGTTTATTGTGTAGATTGCAACTTGTGTATATTTATTTAACAAATAAATAAAAATAAATATATACAAATAACAACTATTACAAAAGTAAATATGACTGCAACTAGAATCACTTTTGCTTGTACCTACATACACTTACATAAGGGATGGTACGCCATACGCTTTCTACCCTAGTCTACGCACCGTCTGGCGTGTTCCCACGCACGGTTCTACGGTGCTCGAGTACATGCATGGAGGAACGTGAATAGATCGTCACGTATGAGATTATATTATGACATTATGGTGTTCAACGGTGTGAAGTCCTTCATACATTTTTCACCTTAAAAGCGCTTACGTGGCACCAGTTTTCACACAAACGTCATAGAAACTACTGAACAGATTTAAATGAAACTTGGTGATCATACACAATATCATGTCCTCGGTCTAAGAAGTTGATTGTGAACAGAAAAGAAGTTTATAAGGACGGAAATAATTTGTTTTGAGAAACAAGTTTCTTCAAGCTTTTAACTGCCCAAAAAACTATTGAAATCAAATCCCCCACTACCGTAGATGTGGCATCACTGGTGACCTATGTGGCGTTATTTGTCTTTTCGCCTAGAATAGGGCGAAAGGGAGTATCCATCAACAACTCCGTTCTCCAGGTCGAGGCCGCGGTACCTTATGACGATAGCCTCGCAACCCCGCTGATCATCAGCCTTGTTGTGCGCCCTAAATGTGGTGGTGAAGATGCCATGGCATCTCTCTAGTCACTCCTCAAAGAGAGGTTTTACCGCTACTATAACAGCGTTGCTGATCTATGTGGTGGATAACATGTTATGGTGTGGAGACCTGAACTAATCTCCTTGAGCAAGCATGGTGATTGATGTTCAAACCTTCTCCGTGTGGAGAGGCCTTACACAGCACTTAGTATTATAAAGCGAAACAATTCCTATCTTTTTTTATGGAATAAGTCGACGGATTACCTGATGGTAAGTAATCAGCGCCGCCCATGGACACCCGCAACGGAGGAGTAACGAGTGCGTTGCCGACCTTTTAGGGATTAGGGTTTTGGAGATTTAGGGATTGGGATAGGGGGAGGGGAAGAATTAGCCTCCGGTAACCTCACTCACACGGCGAAACAACGCTGTGGTTGGTTCACGTCGGTATTCTGTGAGGCCGTGGTATCACTCCGGTCGAGCCGACCCATTCGTGCCGAAGCTTGGCTCTCCCACACTTATCTCCATATTTTAGAACACTAATGTGAACGAAAGAGAAAAATGTATAAATGTATACTCCATTAAATAACCGCCAGCGAGTCTACGAAAACATGATAAAAGCCTTTTCGAAAGCCCAATAAAATACGTCATGTTATGGCGACATTGTACGTATGTGGTGTAGGTTATGGTTACGTTACTTCCAAAGTCCAAATATCGGCGCTTGATTCCGAACTTCGGTCCCCTAATGTTACCGCCCTCGTTCACTTTAAGGGGTGCCTCGAAATAAATTTTATTATAGCTGTTAACGATTTGCTTTCAGTTTTATGTCTTTCGTTGAATAATTATTGCTCATGTATATGACCTTTTTTATTGCGAGGGGATACCTTCAAAAGTCCTTTAGGTTTTTACGAAGAAATGCTTCGGAGATTAGGATTCTTATCTCGCTAATTCGTCAATACCCAAGCGGAAACCGGTTTTTTCCGTGACGTCATCGCCGTGATGCGTTTTCATCACTCAAAATGCTAAGTTGACACACATCACTTTATCGTTCACCATAATTCTGATACTTCAAAGTTGATAAAAGAATTTACGAAACCGTTTACAAAATATCCCTATTTATTTGAAAGATAATTTAAAAAAAAAAGTTCAATGTAAAAAAATCGTAAAAGCAATATGGTATTATACTTTGTTATCTTTCATTTTTTCTCCAGACTTGGGTTCCTCACATAAAAAAACAATTGCAAACTAAAATGCAGAAGTTTTGAAATCTAAACTCTGATTCCATATTCTAAAAAGACGTTGATGTCCAAAAGAAACTATCCACAAAACCCTCATATTTTAAACTCTGAATGTAGTTAAAATCAAAGTCAAAAGCGTTTATCTATACTCTATACTAGAACATTATAGAGGTATGTAAGTTTATCTGTAATCTTTGGAACTGCTACAATGTTCCTGGGAGCTATAGGCTATAAAACATCATGCTACGATCAAATGGAGCTGAGCAGCGGTTGAAACTGCGCGAGAGTAGCTAGTTACTATTATAAAGTGCTTAAGACATAGCAGCCTTTTACAAGCATTGCAATAATTAAAATATTAAATCTTAAACTTTCGATACGTTAAGATTTAGGTAATAGCCAGTATTTTACTTAAACCTCTTCAAAGGTAACAATTAAAATACTGGCACTTCACACACAGCCCTGGTCGCGAGTGACAATTTAGCGGTGTAAACAGGCACGAGCAGACGTCTAGACGTCGGCGGTGGCTGCGTCTGTATCCATAGTTATTGTTAGAATTCATTACCTCCCAGACACGTATGGGAGACTGATGTTTTACATTATATTTTATTAACTGCTCTGATGGGATTTGTATGGAAATTAAGGAGTTGTTATTAATCGTGTCTGGAGTGGTGTTAATGGCAATGTTTTTATTGTTTTTAGTGTCCTTGGTAGCTTTTAGGATGAGAATAAATAAGAAAAATGTTTGTGTGCGGTTGCAACTTTTTTTAAACGTTGCCCACATAAGCATTTTCTCCTGTAGCGTGGGTCCATTTATAAAAACATACATTCACATACACAAACTACTCAGACTCGAAACAACAATTTGTGGATCACACAGTGTTGTTCTGTGCGGGAATCGGACCCGCGACACGTATGACAGCAGCCAATAGCCCAGCCTCTACGCCAAACGTGAAGTCAGTTTTTTTATGCTCTCGGTATCTTCAGAGTGGCTATTTAGTGTTTTATCCATACCGTTTCAGCATAAGCTTACAATTCAATGATTCCTCAAGTCATAATATAGATAACGATTTCTTATTGCCTATAATATTTCTACATTTATCCATATTTCTAAAGAGAACGTCTGCTATCATCTTGAAGGCGAAGTTTATTGCTGAGCTGGCGTTCACAGCTGAACGAGCCACGAGCCATGAGCCCGAGCTACCGTAAGGTACAGCTTTTATTAAAAAGGAAACAGCACCATATGCTCTCGGCTCACTGAGCACCACTCAAAGAATAACTTTGTATCATTAATTTTGTGGAAATATTAAAATATAGTTAGAATCATGTTTTATTGCCTCGGAGTTTTTAGCTCGCATTGTTTTTGGATGAATTTCTGGTTACCATTATCATTTATTTGGTAATGAAACATAAGAAAAATTCTAATTAGATATTATTTTTTCTATGTAGTCAGATGTTACCCAGATTTTTAACCGACTTCAAAAAAAGGAGGAGGTTCTCAATTCGATTGTATTTTTTTTTTTTTTTATTTTTTTTTTTATGTTTGTTACCTCAGAACTCCGTCGTTTATGGACGGATTTGCAAAATTTTTTTTATGATTGAAAGGATATGCTTCCAGATTGGTCCCATTCTTTTCAAAATTGAGTTTTGATGATGGGATCCATGAGAAATCGAGGGAACTCCTCAAATATTATAGGCAACTATATAGTAATTTTAATATTTTCATAGAGCACTCAAGCATTTACAGTCAAAAAGTAATATTTGATGGGGTGGAACTGGTGAAGAAGATCAGAAATGGGTGATGAAACTTGACACTCGCATAGATATCACAATCAAGGTAGTTCAGCAACTATGAAAATGCACTGTAAACCAATGATCTTAAATAATTATGTTGGAAATGTTATCATCGAACTGATTTAATGATGATTATGGAGCTGGAAGGTAGGCACTGGAACTGCGTACCTAATTAATATATCCTAGCCGTGTTTGGGCTTGTTAGAATTGTTATAAGATGCACTTTGGCTGTAAGGTACTATTGAACTGATGTGATGATGAAGCTGGAAGGTTGGCATGGGGCCTAGTATTGTGTAAGCTTATTAGAGCTGTCAAGAGCAATGGAAAGGGCTATGCTCATAGTTTCCGTGCATGTTCGAATCAGAAATGAAGAAATCCGCAGAAGAACCAGCGTCACCGACATAGCCCGAAGAAATGCCAAACTTAAGTGACAGTGGGCACGGCACATTGCTCGTAGAACAGATGGCCGATGGGGCCGAAAGGTTCTAGAGCGGGACCGCACACCTTTGGGGGCGGAGTTTGGCCTAGTATTGGCTATTTTGCATTATTCCACGTGGACTGCGTTTACACATTAGTGGTGAAATGCGTTATTGTGTTCTTATCGTTTTCCTGGTAATAGGCTAAGAGAATTCATTGGCATTTTTAACAAAACAGTCGTTTTAAATGGGTTACAAAACAATAATTGCGTCGTACAAAACAATAATTGTGTTTCTTTTGTGTGCACATATGTAGATAATACTTACTTAAAAAAGGTTCATACATTGAATGACTCATAAATGTATATTTACAATAGCGATGGTCTTTTGTATTTTTACCAACTTGTCTATATATGAATGTTCTTAGTAATAACAAAATAGTATTCTTCATTTAATGGGTTACAATTGATACAAAACAATAATTGCATCGGTCTTTTTTCTATGTACGAATGTATTTAATCATAGATACTAAATTAGATTGCATTTGGTATCTTTGAACTTTATCTGTCTGTTGATGAAAATATCTAGTTTTTTGTTATTTGGCGAGAACTAATATGAATTTATGATAAGATTATTATTTTTTTTTAACTATAAGTCATAAGTATCTCATGCATCATATCATCTCTCCTCGAGATCAAAACGATTACACAGTAACAATGTACTATGATATGTATTTCTACGTATAAGTATGACATTGGTAACTTTTTCAAAAGAAATGTAGGAACGATATTGACTTCTTTGCCATAACACATTATAATAAAAAAAAACACTAAACGGCTACAAATAAAAAAAAAATTTACAAAATAAAAAAACCGCCTTCAAAAAAAGTCAAGCAATAAAAGTTCCTACACTAAAAAGTAAAAAATAACAATTTGAATTACTGTAAAAAAACTTAGTTTATAGGTAAACTTATTTGACATTAATATTTTGCAAATATTCAAAATTTATTACTTATTTTTGGAGTCGGTGCCAGCCCATGCAAGGAAATACAAATGGGCAACAATCCCTTGAAAAACTACCTCTTACTTAATTATAAAACTACTTAATACCTATTTGCATACTCAAATATAGGTATATTAATTAAGACATAAATACAGATTAGACTTCTCTACAAAAAATGTCCGTTTGCACATTTTTTTTAAATAAAAAATATATACTTACAAAAACATTTTAAGTACATTGAAAATGTTTAAGCATTATGTACGAAAAATGGCACCGGATATTAAAAAGCTAACTAACATTAAAATGCCTAAATGTTTCAACATTAAAATGCTGGCACCGACTCCAAAAATAAGTAATAAATTTTGAATATTTGCAAAATATTAATGTCAAATAAGTTTACCTATAAACTAAGTTTTTTTACAGTAATTCAAATTGTAATTTTTTACTTTTTAGTGTAGGAACTTTTATTGCTTGACTTTTTTTGAAGGTGGTTTTTTTATTTTGTAAAATTTTTTTTTTTATAAGGAATATACCAAAACCACATCCTCCTGCCTCAACTTAATCCTATATGTATTAGGCCCAAAGTGACAATGCCGTATGTTCCTGGAGCAATAAAAGCAGTTACCATTCTTTTCTACACAGTCCAAGAAGGTACCACGGGCTTGGTATGAATCAGGAGAAGCATCGGGGTGGTTTTTAGATAGTAAGAGTATGACTGCACGGTTGGTGCGGTGGCTGGGCAACTGGCTGCCGTGCAACGTGTCGCGGGTTCGATTCCCGCACGGAACAACACTTTGTGTGATCCACAAATTGTTGTTTCGGGTCTGGGTGTCATGTGTATGTGACATTGTATTTTTGTAAACGCACCCACAACACAGGACAAAATCCTAAAGTGGGGCAACGTTTTTTTATAAAAAAGAAACACTCATTCTCGTCTTACGCTGGGCGAGAGAAGGAATTTGAAGATTTTCGCCATTAAATAAAAAAACTTGTTACTTCAATAAAAAGGTATTTAATACATTATTTTCGACGCCGTACCAAAGTTAGCACGGCGCTCCCATAGCACATTACGCCTTAAAGAACATGGGAAACATCACACCTGCAATGGAAAAGGTGGTAAGCAGTTACTCAGCTCCATGTTCGAAACATTTCCTTCACCTGCCATCTTAGTTTAAGAAGCTTATAATATTTACACGGACATGAGCCTTTATTTTTAATGTTTCGGGAAGCGACGCGTCCCCCCAGCACCCCTGTCTACCCCTGTACAGTTCGTTGACCTGATGCTGCAGACAGAGAATGTTTTGTCTAGATTTAAGGGAAGCTTTAAACTTAAAATGTGCATTAGTTATCGTTCGTCTGGTTTTGATTCTGTTAGTTTTTCAATAGTCGAGTCGAAATGCTGAAGGCTGTTTTTTGCACTTGTAAGAGTTGATTTGTGGATAGAGAAACGGAATGATTCTAGAGGTCCATTCTATTCGATCTATGTTCTTATATTTTAAGGGAAAAACAAAAGTATGCGTCCATGTAATGTATCTGCAATTAATTATTGTGAACTTATTTGCTTTTTTAATGCCCTCTCCATCAGAAATATAACAATAAATGCCTAATCAGTCTAGCCGTTCTCTAATGATAGTCTTTCGTACACACACCTAACAATTCTTATATGAACTCAAACATACCAATCCACTTAAAGATTCACGCCATCTATTTATGTTTCAACCAAACTTCTAGTACACATTTTCATTCATACAAAAAATAGCTAGTATGCCATTTCCTCTCATTAACCGGTGTTAACAAACTCAACAAAACCGCGCTACTTGCGTCATCGCGTACGTCATCCGTACTTATTTTTAAACCACAATTTTATAATACAAACCTATTTTGTATTTATAAGCTGAACTGTGACGTGCCTTCGCCTAGCTTTTTTGTAGACGAACGTGACTTTGTAATGTTGTCGATGGTTTTCGTTTGAGGTTCGGCGTTAGAGGCTTGTTAATAATATTCACCAAAGAGGTCTCGAATGTTGATTTATTGTGTACAATTATTATATCAGTCATCGGACATCTACTGCTAAACATAGAGAACGTGTAGATATTCTACTGCCTAGCCTAGATTTTGACTCTATAGATAGGGGAATAAAAGGAGAGATATTATGTGTAGATTCCTAAAAGGGTTGGGAGAAGAAGAAATGGTCTAAGTGAGTAATGCAATAGACACACTATAAGAGTACTAATGTGGTTTCCAACTTCGCAAATTCTATTCCTTTTTTTGAAACGCCAATGGCTAGTATACTCATTAGTTTTTATAGAGTAGTTTCCAACTACTCAAATTCAATACTTTTTTCGGAATGTCAAGAATGAACAATAAAATTTATGAATGCAGGTGTGATCTGATTACTTTTATGGTTTTATACGTTGAAATTATTTCTATTTGAATGAGGAATTACTATACGGTATAAAAATAGGAAAACTAATTATGAAATGTAGCAAAGCACTTACCATGCCCCAAACCATGGTGTTATCAAAGGTAGCTGATGGATGGAACCTTGGACTGCGTACTAGTAAACATATCACGCTATTACGCTATCAGTTTGAGCTCATTAAATACGTTTGAGGTTTTATATTGTTTTTTTTTTCAACTTTACCCTACTCTGGTATTTTCTGCTGTATCGTAAGTGCGTTTACAAATATACAATTACATACACATGACACCCAGTGGTTTCGCACAGTTGTTGGATCACACAAACAATTGTTCAGTGCGGGAATCAAACTTGCTATACGTTACGCCGCAGCCGGTTGCCCAGTCACAGTGCCAACCATGCAGTCGTATCAGTCATATATTTTTTACTCTTAATTTATTAATGTAGATAACTCAAACAAAATGATAATTATTTTGGCTCGCTCTTGTAAGTCAAATGCCCTTGTAAGTACTAAGGTTTTATTTCAAAGGCAGTGCTATCAATTTGTAGGAAAACCTGTAAAACAGGTCTTGTGTCTGATCACTGTCTGTGCCAACGTGTGTGGGTGAAGTTAGTGCTATTGTTTTTCTCTATCATGATCGTTAAACGGTCAATATAATCATCATTAATACATTCTTAATCAAATCAATTAAAGTTCGATTTTTGAATTATGATTTTATTAAAATACTAGCGACCCGCCCGCCGCCTTCGCATAGGTGCAGTGACGATACTAAATTTTTCCTCTGTTTACATTATTCTCCAATTACTATATCTAATAACCTTTCGTATGTTTTAAACGTGGATCCACGCGAGACACAGTGTATTTTCTATTGTGTATTATAACATACCTACATAGGGACAGAGAAAGCGACTTTGTTTTATAGGTGTGACATAGTTATTTTCACAAACCAATTTCAAATCTAATTAATGTACGAGTAATAGTTAGTACATTATAATAAACGCATCCTTATTTTGTCACGTCTTCTATTTACGACTAAGAGTCTAGGACTAGAGTCGTCCAGGTTTACAATCCCCACCCCCCTACTTTCCACTCTTTGCCAGTTATTCCGTGCTATGTGCGATTACTATAGGTAAAGTATAGTAACAGATACCGGCAATCATACCCAAGATCGCACATGATCAATAATAGACAATAAAAGTGTATAGTTAATTATACTTATATTTTTGGTAACATCACTAACAGATTTATGTAAAAATTGTTTTCTTTTTGTTACAACAGGAAAAGAACTCGTTCTTAAACTACAACGTGTCGTGTATCCTGACGCTGCCGCCATACCAGAGACAAGGCTACGGCAGACTGCTCATAGACTTCAGTAAGTAAACCTTATTTATTATCTTTGCTTATGATACATTACTTATTGTCTAACATGTTTTATAAGCTGAGCACTCATCTTTTTGGTATAGATACTGTGATTTTTGTATAACTAGATGGAGTTCTCATTGTACTGAATCTGCTTTGCAAATTACTAGTCACCAGTTGTGTAACACTGAACCAACAATTGTTGTTGTTTTTGTACGAAATTTACTCCAAAAACTGACTGTAACGACTATGTGAAGTATTGAGTGATTCTGAAAGTATAATTTTAACAGATCTCAACAATAAAATTCGCCTAAAACAACAAAGAAAAATAACATCATCAACGCACCCCTACACCGAAATCTCATTACAATTGCTGTCATAGCTCAAAAATATCCCATTAAAGTGACACCACATTTACTTGCTGTTGCCAACCCTAGCCAGACGGACATAATTCACAAGGGCTTAACCTTTAATAACGCAAAAAGTCATACAAATTGCCCTCAGCTACGCGCGTGGAATAGTTCATTGCGAATGTCAATGTCACCGGTGGCAATGCCCGTAGTGACATGGCAACAGATAATGCCTTTATACGCCTATTCGGCAATAGTTGGACTAATGCCATTTTCTTTTAGGTTTGTTATATTGTCATGTTGTTACTTTAATGATGTGTCGCGCCCTTAGCAAACGGTAAACACGACTGGCAGACAGACGTTATTGAATCGAACTCAACAATAGGGGTGACCGTTCCGTACCGCAGCGGCCCCGTAGCGTGCTCGCAGCGTGCTCGTCGCGTGCTACACAGCCATGTCAACACAGCCAATGCGTAATTCTTACAAATCGCAAACGTATAACACCTGTGCGGTCAACGTGATAAACCCTCGCAACTGCGGGAGCTGCGGGTTTGTTTTGTCCCCCACGGGCGAGGGGGCGTCGCGACGCCGCGGCCGTCGACCCGACCCCGATCGATGCACTGCAGTATGGATCGGTCTGCCGTCTAGACTCACCCCCCTCGAGTCTAGCCAGGGGACGGGCCGACAAGCCCGCCGTGAGACGTAAATAGGGTTGCCATATGTAACATAACTAACCTAGGATAAGCTGTTTTCGTATAGCCATTTTTTGGCTGTTTCCATCAAGTTTTTTGTAATGTTGTTTGTTTTAGATTTAGACTACAAAAGATAGATTTCGTGATGTCTTATCATAGTCGTAATCTACATTTCACTCAGCTAAAACAGTACATCGAGTTAAGTAATTACTCTGAAATTCTAATTCATTAGCAAGGGAATAGCAACAAAACAATAGTGGTGGTGTGTAAATAAATGTATTCAGTTAACTGACAAGCAACACTCTAATTTCGACCTGGAATTCTCCAAACCCATTTCGTATTCAATTTCTCTTACAAAACAAGCCTGTGAATTGTTCAAAATGTTTCATGACGCTAACAAATAATTCGATTTGTCTGGCAGCCCTGCCGTGCCCGTCAGATTTTAGAAGCGAGGTCTTTTGATGCGTGGCTTAATTATTGTTGTACGTGTAACTCATTGATTAAACTTTAAGTAAAGCGTATATTAATTAGTTAAATATTTTATTCATGAAGTTTGACCGACTACTTTGAACGTGTATCTCGATTTGAATTTTGAAACTTTAATTTCGTGGTTGAATATTAATGCTAAGCACAGAGAAAAATTCAGTTTTGAATTGAATAAGTTTTAGTGTGAATTGCTAATCATTGTGTGTTCAATGATTTTGACGCGTGGATAATATACAGGCCAAATATGTGTCGGACTGATCTATGAAAAACGGCAATAAATCAGATAGTTTTTTGTATGGGTACTTCTACTTTAACAGGACAAAGAAATGTTAAATTTGAAAAATTTTATTTTGTAAGCAGTATTTTTAAGATCTAACGAGCAAACATTTACTCTTTTAAACAAAAAGAGCATAGCTTTACTCTTTTTGAGCTAAAAAGATATACCTACTTCCAAAACAGGTCGAGCATTAGAGGCTATTTTCGTGTTAGGTATCGGGTGGCGAACAGGCAGTCGAGTCACCTGATGGTTAGCAATCAGCAGCAATGACTCATACGGCGAAAGAAAACGGAAGCGTCGTTCCACACCAATTTTCTGAGATGTCGTAGGAAGACCCCGGTCGGACTGCTTATTCGTACGAATTCCAAAATTTTTTTTTTGCTATTCTCTAATCCCCATTTTAGGTCTAAACTACTCCTGATCATAATCATCAGCCTATGAGTGCCCACTGCTTAGCAAAGGCCTCTTCTCACACGGAGAAGGTTTTTGAGCATTAATCACCACGCTTGCTCAAGGCGGATTGGCGAGTCCTGATACAACTTAAGTATAATTGGAATAATGATTTAGTCCAACTGACACATCACGCACATAAGCACGATGTCGTGTTTAAAGCTGATGATTTGAATACGTTCGAGTGAATCAAAGGGGTGTCTAAGCTGTCATTGTGTGCGTGTATGTGTGTGACGTACAGTACAGTTACTCGTGTACAGTCAACATCGTAATTCTGTGTACTAGTAAGAAATTAATTGGTTGATTCTGTGCAGAAAGTATAGGTACTGTCTCTAAACCAATCACTGTAGGTTCCAATAGGCAGGTACCTACATACTTTATTATATTACATTATATGCTTTACCACATCATCAGCCCATAAGTGGTCACTGCTGAGCAAAAGCCTTTTCCCACACGCAGAAGGTTTGAACATTAATCACCACGCTTGCTCAAGGCGGATTGGCGACTCCAACTTAAGATTTAAAAAGTCCAGGTTTCGTCACGAAGATCCCTTTACCGTATGTCAGTAGTGTCTTAATGAACTTAGAATGTAATATGACTTAAAAAAGTCACATTGGTACTTATCAGGTTTCGAACCCACCTCCTCATGCATATCTCTTGCCATCGTAAGCGCGGGTCTGCAGACGGCGAGTAAGGGCAATTCGCCACCCGACCAGAACCAGACCCGAGCGTACGGCGCGTAGCGTTCCGCGCGCGCCTCAAAGAGCCAATAGACCACCACAGACGGGGCCCTATAGGGCTGTTGTTCAGCCGGGGTTGCGGGATAAGCGCAATGAGGCACCGCGACCTCGGCCTAGAGCAGGAGAAGAAACAGGGGGTTTTTAGTCAGTAAGAGTCTGACACTCCCTCCCGCCCGGCCCGGCCCTGGGCGGGAGAAGTCATTCTCCCCTCACAAAAAAAACCTCATGCATGTGAAGCGGGCGGCGACCTTCGGGCCACGACGTGTAAATGAAGGCATATTCTAAATATTTGTGTGGGAGTGCAATGATTTGGCACGAATGGGTCAGCTCGATCGGAGTGATACCACGACCTCACAGAAAACCGGCGTGTAACTACCACGGGTTGTGTTCTGAGGTGTGACTGAGGTCGGCAACGCACTCGTAACTCCTCCGTTGTTGCGGGTGTCCAAAGGCGGCGCTGATTGCTTACCATCAAGTAACCATTGGTCTTCTCAGTCACCCCATTAACGGTAGAATGCTGATGATGATGTCTCATTATAGGTCAATCAATATATTATTTTATTACCTGCACACTAAATAACTTGGTCGATTGTACTTTTTATCGGTATTACGCTATGAGGCTTTCCAATGAAGCGTAGCAGCGTTTCATTCCGTTGTGTTGTGAATTAATGAAAAAAATAACATAACTGTATGCTTGGTTTTTTATGTGTTTCCAACATAAATTTTCATGGTCATGATTTTTTTAGTAAAAGCTTAGGTATTTAATTATTTAGCCTTGTTTGCGGATGAAAGTTCAATAATATGCAGTGGCCCTGGTCCGATTCAAGAGAAGGGGGTGATTTTAAGTCAGTAAGAGTTTGACACTCTTGGAACACGTGACTCACCCTCAAAACGAGATCTCGAATATTAGCAAAGTATTTATTCCTATTTGAAAAACAAATCCAGAATCGACAGTCATACAAGGTGGATAGTGTATTAATATTTTCTCAAAACGCCGTTAAACTTAGCTATTGTTTTGGAAAAAAGTTTCTTAACCACAAAACACTTTTATAGTCGTCCTAAAGAAGAGTTTTTTGAGAATTAACACAAAATTAGACAGCCAGACGAAGCTTAAATCCTTCTTCAAAATGTTGGAATAGTGGTTATATACAAATCAAACAAAGAAATAAAATAAAAAAAAGTTTATTTCAATTACAGTAGGCATTTGACACATAATTGTTAGGCTCTTTTTAAGCAAACATTCGCTTGCGTTAAATTCAAATTTAGAACGTAATTAATATTTATGACCTATGTACCACACAAGTTTAACACGAACGTTCAGATGGTGTTGAAACAACCGCTTAGTCTAATAATCAGACGATAGCATTTTGCGAGTGAAGACGGGGTGCAAGGTACAATTAATTTGGTGCGACGTCACTTCCCCGTCTGTCTGCGGTTCTAGACGGTGTTGTTATAAAATTAATTAACTACCAGATGTACCTAGAATTAAGAAGAATATTATATGAAAATAATCCAGTAAATAACGTCTCTTTTCTAAGTTCATGAGAACACCAAAGACATACGGTGAAGGAAAACATCGTTAAGAAACCTGGACATATAATTTCTATTGGTTAAAAGTTTGAAATAGCTAATCTGCATTGAGCAAGCGTGGTGATTAATGCTCGAATCTTCTACTTTGCTCTGCAGTGGGCACTTATAGATCAGCATAACAGGTGATAACTTTAAGCTCTGGTTTTACCATCTTAATAAATGATACCTACAAAATAAGAACTAATGTTATTTTTAATTAGTAGGTTCCCTTCTTGTTTCCATTTAAGGAACAATAACGTAATTGAGTGATAATATTTTGTTTATAGAAGATCATCCAATGGTCTTCTCCCACCCAGAGTCAGTCGAGTATTTTATACTGACTAAGACTTTGATTCTAGCACTCCGTCTCGACCCACAAAAAAAAACACGTATCTGACCAACCTTAAAGTTTTTTACACAGAGTGTAAACAAAAACAATATCTAAGTACTACCAAATATAGAATAATAACACGTAAAAATACTTGAATAAAATTAAAATATTTTAAGTCCATAATCCGTCATTGTGGCATGATTATAATCGAGATCTGACCAAAGGGTCTATTGCAATTGGAAAGCGATATACTCACCGTGTAATCCTTTTGAGTGGATGCCGCCACCCCTGCGAAACAGATGTATTATAACGAGCAGGATAGAGCATTAGGGGTGGCCATAGGTTTCAAATTAGGGCCTAAATACGGGTTTCAAATTCATATTGATTATCTTTCTAATCTGTATTAAAAAGGTCGTCGTGCCGTAGATGTCAATTCTCCCTTTTCGTGTATGAGGGTGCCGGTTCGGAATCTAAAAAGTACAGATGACAAATTCCGTGGTGACTAACGTTCATATCTTCCCCGTCTCAGGTGAGGTTTTTGTTCAATAGTACCCACTATTGAACAAAACTAATAGGCTGATGATGTGCCTGTGGGTATATAGAAAACTTTTTTGGACTGTTCTTTGTTTATGTTTGGCTATGTTTTATATCTTAAACTACCTCATCGATGTTATCAAGCATTTAAAAGCGTAGTTTAAACAAGAATTGTCGAGAATTTATTTGAAGAGTGCATTTCTAGCGTTAAGAAAACGTCCCGTCCCGAATAATCTAACATATTGCACTACTTTCTTTTTTATATTGCATTTAAATGATGGTAGACTTATTGTACTGCAAAAAATCTACTTTCTACACAAATACCAATTATCTAACCCAGATGATATTCCACCAGGTTATCTCCTAACGAAAGAAGAAGGCAAGGTTGGATCTCCAGAAACACCACTATCAGATCTTGGTCTGATCTCCTACCGTTCCTATTGGAAGGAGGCTCTCCTCAAGAGATTATGCTCAGCTCCAGGTCCTACGCTGTGTATCAGAGATCTGAGTAAGGATCTGGCTATCGCGTCTTCGGATATTGTTTCCACGTTACAAGAACGTGGGCTCATGAAGTACTGGAAGGGCAAGCATATTGTGCTAAAGAAACAGGTGCGGTTTTCTTTTGTTTTTAATTATTTTTTATGATTATTATTATGAGGGAGTCTTGCTATTTGGTATACTCGTACAGAATGAAAGTAACTTTTACTGTGTGCTTACTGTTATGTGTGTTCAAATTAAGATCTACTAGACTAATTTAGATAATTTTTACCCGACTAAGGCAAAGCAAAAGGAGGGTTATGATTTTAGGCTATGTATTAAAAATCTTGATGCTTTTAAAAAGAGAGCTAAATCTGTCATAACAGTCTATTGTTTAGTATCTAGAAGGTTGATTTTGTAAAATGGGTTAATAGCATTAAAAATAAAAAAAAATAACCTGATTCCTGTTTTGATATATGTGATCCCCGAAGGGTATATGGCCTGGGTGTCTTTAAGGCCCGAGTGAATAGGTTGCTTATGGGTAGGCGTGCTCCATCGTAGGTCGCATCATCCCTTACCACCAGGCGTGCCAAATGCCTAAAAATATCAATTTCTTGAGATTTATTAACAAGATTATTTGGTTTGAATAGGAGGTGTTAGAAGAGGTATCCCGTCGCGCGGCGCGTGCCCGCTGCGTGGACCCCGCGTGCCTGCGCTGGTGGGGCGGGGGCCCGCCGCCGGCGCGCTGACGCCGCGCCCCCGCCGCGCGCCGCCCCAACAGCAGCGCCGCGCGCGCACTGCTCTAGTACTGCTGGAACCACGTAAGTTTGAATCTGAATTCAACTAAAGTACTTATTCATCTAGATATTAATACCGCCGTAACTTCGGGTTACTTTGACCCTGGGAGATAACTTTGATCCAAACTTTCGAACTAATGAAAAACGAATATATGTTTGGTTTTCAGTTATTATTGGTTAAAGGGTTTGGATCAAAGTTACCCCGCAAGGTCAAAGTAACCCGAACTTACCCGGTATACAAGCAGAAACATTTAAATTTCTTCATACTAAAACCGTCTATTCTGTACACAGAATGATTTTATGTAAAGTAAAAGCAATGTAGTAAGGTTGTACCTTAGAACCGTAAGAAAATTTCTGTTTAACGAGAGTGTTGAGTCTATTTTGTTAATAACCTACTCATATGGTACCCAAAAGTGTCTTGTGCTATTATTATTATAGGTCAACCAAATCTTTATTTATTGTAAACACCACAATTTATACACTAGTATACATATGCTATAGGCCCAATAAGGCTAAGGTACCACGACAGTAGTTAGTAAAAGTCTGACACTACCTCTCGCTATATCCTAAGCGAGATGAGAGAAGGAATTTGATGATTATCACCTTCAAAAAAAAAACCCTGAAGTATCATATATATATTTGCAAAACATTAAGAACATATTACATAATAACATTATACCATAACTCACTTAACTTCATCTCACACAGAAAGCGGTGCGAGGGCTAAACTATCCGACAACATCGCTATATCAGCGATATGTGACAAGATATCGCGGTCGCTCCAACAAGCCCTTCACCACATCAGTGCATCAAAAATCGTGTTAATTTCACACTGTCACTGTGTTTGACTTTCAAAAAATTATTTATATTCAATGAAATTATTTCCAAAATTGTGTATATTTAATTTAATAGTATATAACGGATCTAAGTGATAAATTGTGTAAACGATATTTGTTGAAATTTGTACCTTTTTACAATTGTATTTGTGTCTAAAATTAATTATTATTTAGTTTTATAATTGTTATTGAAGCTCGGTTTCACAATCGCAATGTAAATGTAAAATTAATGGAATTAACAAGAAATGATCTGTCAGTAATTAGAATATTTATGGAGATTGATGAAACTGGCTCTTAGTGATATGATATTAAAGTTTGTAATCGATTCGAAGTACATTAGTCAATTATACCTTTAAAATATTTTACGAACGGACTCGCGGGTAAAAGATACTTTTTTTTAATAAAACTTAAAATTGCTTTTGTCTTGACAGGACTGTGAACGCTAGTCGCATATTATTAAGTATGCTACAAGTTTTATACAAAATGTACTTATTATTTTAACCTAAAATAAACATCCTGTATTTTTTTTAATATGGCAACACATTGGTAATGTTGCCAATGAAAAAATCATGAATGAATTTATGGTATGTTTTTTTGAAGATTTCTCAATGATAATGAAATTATGAATGTATTAACTGTATCAGTTCGTTTTAATTAATTTGATTGTTATTTTATGGTTTGTCAGGTGACGAATGTTCCTATCTGCCGCACAATATGACATTTTTTTGTCGATAATGTTGCCTGCATAATATTCTAAAATAGTTTCAACAATGTAGATATTATTTTTCACTAAAATTAAATGAGGAGAAACATTACATTTTGAAAATTGATCGATGGTTTTTAATATTTAATAATCGATAAAGTTTTTTTTATCAATTTTAATGAAAAGCTATGATAACCTACAAATAATGAAAATATGCGTTTTTGTAATCAAATAAATTAAAGAAGAAAACATTTTTATTAGGAAAATTTTGTATATAGAATATAAAGTAGGAATTCTAAAAGTTTACGAAAGTTGTAAATAAATTATGTAATATTTGCATTATTTAAAAAATATAAAATGGCTACGTGACGATCAAAAATTGTAACACTCAAACGCCTCAACTACTCTAGCGAATTAGATTTTATAATATGTAGATTTTGTAATTCAATATAAAGCATAAAAATATTGCACAAGAGAATATCTAATCTATAATTCGGCTGATTCAACCAGAGTGATACTACGGCCTCACAGAAAACCGGCGTGAAACAACGGTTAGTGTTGCGTATCGCTGTGTGAGTGAGGTTACTGAAGTTAAAGACATGTTTTAAAATTTGCATGATTCGTTTATAATCACTATTATTGTGGTACATATTTGATTGTTTAGCCAGGTTAGTAGTCGATTGGAAACTTAACAAGAAATATATTGTAAATGTTACGCGGTATAAATGTTTTCATACTGTTGTTATGAAATTAATAAAATTAACAAAAGGAAACCAGTAAGATAGCTCTTATTGAGTATGTAATACAGCCTTCTTCCGAACAAAAAATACAGTTTTTCTTAAAAAGGTATTTGTCGCTAGATGGCGCCAGTGAGGTTTTAAGTCTAGTTAGTCGAAACACACTAATGTATGAAGTATATCAAAGTGAATGATTTTTATGCGAAATTTCTTGAGAATCTAGAGAGCAGTGTAGTTTTAAGACAGTTAACTTTGAGATTATGCTTACTAAATTTTAAGTAAATTGTTTTAATATGCATATTTTTAATTACGGTACGTTCCCTGCCCTTTACTTAAGAAATAATTTGTGAGAGTAAGTTATAATTTGTATGAATGTTTTTATATAATAAATTGAATTGTACAAAATTAATTATTAATTAATGAATTTGTAAAGTTTGTACATAATTTTAAAAGAATAAAATTTTAGTTACTATTTATTGACTTTTTCTTAAATCCCCTTGCATTTTTAAAGTTTGCAAATAATCATTTACATAGCTAGAGAAGTTTATTCAAAATAACATCTTACTCACATGAATTCCTCATAGAAAACCGGCGTGAAATAACCACTGCGTTGTTTCGCCGTGTGAGTGAGGTTACCGGAGGCCCAATCTTTCCCCTTCCCCAATCCCTCCTCAATCTCTAAATCTCCAAATCCCTAATCCCTAAAAGGTCGGCAACGCACTCGTAACTCCTCCGTTGCGAGTGTCCATGGGCGGCGCTGATTGCTTACCATCAGGTAGTCCGTCTGCTTGTTTGCCAACCTATTACATAAAAATAAAATTAACCCCAAAAATTCTACTTCTATAGAATTTTTCGGGAATAATTCATTTAGGTGTAAGAAAGCCATGCTATCCACGAATGGATCGGCTCGACCGGAGTGATACCACGGCCGACAGAAAACCGGCGCGAAACAACCAAAGAGTTGTGTTTCGCTGTGTGAGTGAGGTTACCGGAAACCCAATCCTTCCCCTATCCCAATCTGTTCCCTTTCCCAAAATCTCCAAATCCCCAATCCCCAAAAGGTCGACAACGCTCTCGTAACTCCTCCATCGTTGCGGGTGTCCATGGGCGACGCTGATTGCTTACCATCAGGTAATCCGTATGCTCGTATACGTACCTATCATATAAAAAAATAATAAAAGAAGTATATAAAAACCATATCATCTTGAAGCATCAGCCTAGAATTGAAATGAAGAGTTGCTCTTGGCAGTTTTGACACATAAAACGACAGATGTAGAGATAACGCAGCCATCTTATACTTATTATGTATCTCCACCCACTTAAGGCTTAAAAATCCTTAATTATTATTATCTGTACAAGTTTCTACCACCAGCTTTGCTCTCAGTACCAGGGTAAGTTAAGCCTATGTGTTATTACGTACTATAATCTATCTCTGAGCCAAATTTCGTACGGATCCATTCGCTAGGGTATATAAACTTTCAGGATTGTGCAAGGGTAATACAATAAGGTTCTGTAGCCCCGGCCCAGGCGAAGGAACGGGGAGGTTTTCAGTCAGTAAGAGTCCGAAACCTCAGATGACTCTCACTCACCCCACTTAAGATGGGAGAAGATATTTGGTTATTTTATCCATTTAAAATATTCTACACTAACTTTCCCGTTGATAATATTAGGTAATCTACTATCAGAGTTGGGGTTTTTTTGTGAGGGGAAAATTATCAAATACTTCTCCCGCCCAGGGCAGGGCGGGAGGGAGTGTCAGACTCATACTAAGTAAAAACCCCCCTGTTCCTTCTTCTGCTCTGGGCCGAGGTCGCGGTGCCTCATTGCTCTTACCCCGCAACCCCGGCTGAATCAGAGTTGGGTGGGGGTTTAGTCAGTGTGTCTTATCCTATCCTAACTTCTTATTTGTCCATCTTTACAATTACATTCCATTATATTTTGACACTCCCTCTGGCCTTAGCCTGGGCGAAAGAAGTCATTTATCAAATTTTCTTCCTTAAATCAATCTACACAAAGTCCCATTTATAATTTTAAGCACAAATTACAATTTTTGGAAGATAATAGTCCCTTTAAAACCTTTATACTTACAGAACTTGTTTCTTTTACCCGAGTTGAAGCGTAAATCATTTTATCATGTCTCATTATCCACATGAACGTCGGCCATTATCACATTAATTGTTTGTCGTGACGTCACTGGCCAATGAACTCCAAGCTCCAAGGTCTTGCGTTTTGAACTACTTTTTTTATTTACATACAAATATATTTCTTTTTATCCTGACCTTGTTTCAAGTTTGGAATGAGCCGGGGCTGTGACGCGCGGTGTGTTGTGGCGAAATAAAGAGATTCTATGCGAATAGCCGAATAAATGCTAATCAAATAGAATATATAAGCCTTAGTCACACATAGACCCATAAGAAGAATTTGTGGATCACAAAAATAAGATCGATGGTAATAACCAACGCATATAAAGTCATATAATAACCATAAGACCAGATAAGAGTAGGTAACCATGGAGTTTCTTGCTCGTTCTTCTCCATCGGAATCTACACTTTGGATCGAGCAAATAGCTTCACTAGAGGACAGACGGACAGACTGACACGCATAAAGTTAAACCTCTTGAAATATATTTTCTTTTTTATGCTTGACGATCAAAAGTGCCCACTTTGACCTAATTGAAATAAATGATTTTGACATTTTGATAAATCCAACATCGCGCAAGAGAAGTGACTGAGGTTACCGGAGGCCCAATATATCCCCTCCTCCAATCTCTAAATCTCCAAATCTCTAATCCCCAAAAGGTCGATAACGTAGGTACTCGTAACTCTGTTGTTGCGGGTGTCCATCGGCGGCGCTGATTGCTTACCATCAAAAGACACATGTGCCACATGAATAGAAAATACCAACGTACGGGAATACAGTTTTATTAAAAAAAACTAGGTATAAGTGTACTTAGGGTTGCCAGGTCGCTAGGCCTTATAGCCGGACAGACCAGCCCGTTTAGCCGGAGATTTGGCTAAAAAGGCCGGACACCCTATATTCTTAAGGATTTTGTATCTCAGTATTAATAGGTACAAGATTTAAGCATTTTTGATTATTGTCATAACTCTTGTTGAATTCTTATAAAATAATTATTAAGTCTAAGTCGAACAAGCAAAGCAAACTTCGCTCCTGCCATGTTTGGTGTTTCGTTTCACTCGTTTGTGATTGTGATAAGTTTAGGTAAAAAGCCTCACAAAAGCCGGACAGGCCGGACACCGTTTATTTTGCCCGGACTGGCAATAAAAAAGCCTACCTATGTCCGGCTTTATCCGGACGCCTGGCAACGCTAAGTGTACTAATAGGTATCACAGTTAAAGTCTATCGGTTATACCTACAGGTGAATTAATTAAACTATTCGACAAAGGTGTGGCTGATAAGGCGGCTGTTAACGAAAGCGTTATTAGGTTCTTATCACAATTTTCATAATATCTGTCGTGACCCGACAGCGGCAAAGATTGTAACTAACAACCAAACAAAATCAACTCTTATCAACAAGATAATAGAGTTTTA